GTTTTCGATAGTGATGAGATTCGGTGGGAGAGAACCGAACCGACGGGCGAACGGGGCTGACACGACTGGTTGCCATTTCGGGAAAGGGGTCGTCACCAGCTTAGAATCGACGGCTCACAAAAGGCCGGGCGGAAAGAGTACCGAGGAGTGGATGTATATTTTAAGAGACGGAGGTCGAGATGCGGTATCAGTGATGGTAGGAGAGAGAGAATACCGCTGAGTGAGCATGCTGAGGCGCGATCCCGCTGAAGCTGAACGAAGGCGTATGGCGAGGTGGTTGTATAGGGACCGAAAGCGAGAGCGTACGGAGTAGATTGAGCAGAATCGAAGTACAGAGGAAGTGGAGCGGAGATGATTCGGAGGAACGAGAGAAAATTTATGACGATAATGAGAGACAGGATGAGAAGGAAGAAGAGTTGGCAGGTCGGATAGGTCACAAACGGACTGGGACTGGGGATAATATGAGGTTGGACGGGGGAAAAGAGGGAAAGGCTGGGATCGACCAAGTCGAGGTGGCTGCAGTAGAGGGGAAACGAGTGTAATGTCGGAGACCAGCTCATTAATAATTGGGTCTCAATGACAGAATTGATAACAACCAACCATTTGCATCAACAGGAGCAGCATTATCTGTGCATGCATGGAGAAAAGAGGAGAGAGAGAGTTTTGATGGTGTTGTTGTTGGTGACCTGGAGACGGAGATCCCTAAGCTAGCTACCTTAGCTACTTTACTAAGGGTTGACGGCGACGCGCGGATACTCAAGTGGACCTTGCTATTCACTAGTAGATACGTACTAACTATCTAGGCAATAATATCAGGGGGTTTCGCTAGAAGAAAGTATTTTTGGATAGTTCCCTTTCCCGTTAGGGTATTGTGTATTTGCATCACGGAGTACTTCATCAATAATCCTGAAATGCATCCTGCACTCCTTTTCTGCCCGACGCGTGTGCCGTCTACTGATTTATCGCTAGAGATACTTAAGAAACATGCATATTGACAGCTGCCTCTCACTCGATCCGTGCATCTGCAGATGACAGAATCAACTTGGCTCATTATGCGGTCAATATGATGGCCTCTGGCATTAGAATCCGCCCGGCATAATTCTCATTCCACGCGATTATCGGAATGCCTCAGTAGCCCTATATCCCTTCCGTTCTCGTCCCAAATCCAAATACCCTGATTGATAGAACAAAAATTCCTTTCTAGATCTTGAATGGTCCTGCCCCTTGCATGACCAACCCCAGGCCCATTTTTCGTCTCTTTCAGGTACAGCAATGGAAAAAGGTCTCCGGACTCAACCCGACCTTCTCAGCGACGCACCAGAGAAACTGGTCGTTGCGCTTCAGGGACTGGAGGAGCTGTTCGCTGCGGACAGGTTCCTGTTGAGGAAGATTACAGATCATTTAGTCAAGGAAATGGAAAAAGGCTTGGAACCTTGCAGACCAGCCTGGAAGAGATTTTTGGAAGCATGGCGAAACGACGTCGTCATTCTTCGATGTCCATACTGACCAAATCCTCAAGGCCTAACCGTGGAAGGAAGCGATATCGTTAGTGAGCTTGCTAGATTTGAATATCTAGGTTCCGTGCTCTGAAGGAACCCTAACTGACGGAGATCATGCCATAGCCAATGAACGTATCTTGGGTCATGGGCTATCCAACAGGCAAGGAGCAAGGGAAATTCTTGATCCTCGACATGGGAGGCACCAACCTGCGCGTAAGCCAGGCGGAGCTTTTCGGTAGCGATCGCGATATGGAGTCCATCCAGGAGAAGTACAGTATACCCCAGTCGATCAAGCAAGGTACAGCCGACGATCTGTGGGATTTCGTGGCGGACTGTGTGCAGAAGTTTCTCCAGTCACGGCTCAGGGAAGGCGAAAGCTCGAAAGTCTTGCCGCTTGCCTTTACGTTCTCCTATCCCGTCATCCAGTCCTCTATAAAAGTCGGAGTCCTTCAGCGCTGGACGAAAGATTTCTGCGTATCTGGAGTGGAAGGCCATGATGTCGTATTTCAGTTAGAGGCTGCTTTCGAACGGAAGGTGTGTGTCCCCTTGTAACCTGTCCGATTGCAAAGGCAGGAAAAAGACGTGTTCTCTTATTGCTCATTTGACTAGCAAATTCCCGTCCGAGTCGTGGCTCTGATCAATGATACGGTCGGAACGCTCTTCGCCGCGGCGTATGGAGATCGAGAGGTCAAGATCGGTAGTATAGCAAGCACCGGTTGCAACGCTGCATACATGGAAGAGATTTGTGCAATCCCAAAGATCCAAGACTGCGGGCTACCAAGCGATGCTCTCGTCGCGATCAACACCGAGTACGGTGCCTTTGATAATTCATGCCGCATACTGCCGCGGACACGATTCGACGATGAAATCGACCGGACATCCGCGCATCCCGGCCAGCAGCTCTACGAGAAGATGGTCTCCGGGCCGTACCTGGGGGAGCTGCTCCGACTGGTGATGTTGGAGCTGCACGAAGCCAAACTTCTCTTTGTAGGTCAGGATGTTTCGTGTTTGCGCCAGCCAAATGCCCTGGACGCCTCCCTTTTCCCAACCCTGGAGGAGGATGTCGGCGAATGCATGGAAAACGCTCGTAAGTGTCTGTGGGAGAAGACGGGCCTTGACCCAGCTCCGCACGAACTCAAGGCCTGTCGATACCTGGCCGAACTGGTCGGAACGCGTACTGCTCGTCTCTATGCATGCGGGATTGCAGCGATCTGCAAGAAACGCAATATCGAACGCTGCCATGTCGGCGTTGATGGCTCGATTTTTAGTCATTATCAGAATTACCGCAAGCGAGCGGCGCAGGCGCTCGGGGATATTTTTGCATGGCCCGGTGACCTCGACGATCCGATTGTGTTTGGATTCTACAAAGATGGGTCTGGAGTTGGCGCCGCGGTGATCGCTGCGTTGGCTGTCGAGAGATCGGATGGAACTGTCCTTAGCAGAACAGAATAGACTTTAACCTTCAACAGGATCATTTTCCATCTTCTATCGCAGTTTGGCGATATTTCCAACCTCTGTTAGTCGGTAGCAGGTCTACGTAGGTAAACCGAAGCAATACCGTGGCTACGGCCTTAGGCCACTAGCGTAGCCTACACTGATAGTGTAAAGGTTCCCCACAGCGATGACTAGTTAGCGCTTGTCCCTTGCCGATCACCTTCAGCCTGCTGAAGCCTGGACCTCATCAATGCACAAAGCTCAGCATCATCATCACAGTAGTCTAGATATCCTCAAGTAGGCCAATTATTACCATTCCAAGGACAGCATTCGCAGCGACGCGATGACCCACGATGCGTTTTCGAAGTCAACTGACTAACATTGTCACCTTCAGCAGTACGTCTCCCCGTCGCCAATCATCAGTACTCCCACTAACCACCCACCAACAGAGTTGACAGCTTCCCTCTCATCGCTAGGGAAAGTCTGCTGGATGCGCCTGGAAGATGGCATCGTCCGCTTCACCATCATCCCCGACCAAGGCACGCAAGTGTGGGCCCAGTTACCAGTCGTACGCACCACCTCCCCGCCTCAATCTGCAACCCAAAGCTAACAAAACGGCGTAGGACGCCATCTTCGACGAACCAACCTACACCCTCCAATCCAACTCAGGAGTCATCAACCTCGAAGTCCCGATCGGCGCGCTCCATCGCGCCCTCCGCTCCGCAACAGGCGCCACCTCCGCCCAACTCCGCCTCACAAAGAAAGGCAACATCCCTCTCCTCGCACTAACCGTCCTCTCCTCCTCCTGGACAACAGGCTCAAACGCCCTCGGAATCGCCAACCCGGCCACTGGAGCAGCAGCTCCTGGCATGACCGGGCCCCGCGAACGCGAAACGGTAATCACGCAAGAAATCCCCGTCAAGGTCCTACACGAGAGCGCAATCGAAGGCCTACATGAGCCGCGCTGCCGCGATCCAGACGTGCACATCATCCTCCCCAGCCTAGCGCACCTGAAAAGCATCTCGGAGCGCTTCTCGAAGCTAGCGGGGGACGCGCGGCCCGCTGCCAGCGGCGGGATCGTGTCATCGACGCTGACGTCGCCCAAGCTCGAGTTATCGGCGAACATGCATGGCTCGCTGAGGTTGGCGATTGCGACGGATGCGCTGCGCATCTCGAGTGTGTGGAGCGATCTCGTGAACCCGCCGCTGGATCCGGCGGGGATGTCACAGAGTGAGATTGAGCAGTTGCCCAGTGAGAGGATGCGGGCGCTGGGGAGTGATGACGAGGCGGGGTGGGCTAAGGTGCGGATCGATGCCAAAGATTGGAGTCGGGTGTTGAGTATTGGGAGGCTGAGCCCGAAGGTGGTTGCTTGTGAGTTCGTGCTGTTGTTGGTTTATATGCTTGCGACTGTACGCTGGCGCTAATACGTCTACTCTACTGTCCAGGTTTTATCCATGAGACGGCCCTGATTCTGTATGTTTACTTACCACAAAGTTGGAATGGGGAGGATTCATGCTTGACAGTAAGTTCCCAGTTGCGATATTTTAGCCATGCCAATATTAATATTCCCTTGCTAGTATTACATCAATTCCTATGCAGCCTGATCTATCAGAAACCTCGCCTGAGTCTGGAAGACCTGGGCAAGGTCGAGCGCCAAAGCTGCGATAATGAGACATGATACATAGAATGCTGGTTATTAGAGCAATAGTGGACAAATTAAAATCGTATATCATACAAAACGTAAGCCAATCTGTCGCAAGGCGTCGAGGAAACCTTGGTGATTGTAAGAATTCGGCTTGGATCTAACGACCCAAAAAGATCATCTCCAACTCCCGTAGGAAGTCGTGCAGCGCAACTGTGCAGACGTATATGCAAACATGCAAGGAGATATCTTGCAAAGCGCCGCCGAAAGGGGCCGCTATTCTTCAAGCCGAACCCGGCATGCACGCTTCTAAGCAAACTCAACATCAATGGTTCTATGACCGGACCGAGTATATGCATTTCACATTGTGCAAGAAGTGAAAATAAAAATCAAGTCGAGAAAGTAAGATCAGCCCATCAAGGCTCTTACTTCGCCATAACGTCGACGTAGCGGCCTTTCTTCTTCCCCCTGGCTGCAGGGCCTTTGCGCGCCTGCGGTGCCCCGAGTAAGTCGTCTATTGAGCTGGCATTGCTCAATGACGTTGCGGGCCTGGGTGGTGCCCCGGCTGAACTGCTCGGAGGAGTCGGCAAGACTGCGCCCGTCGACACAGACCGTGGGATAGCAGGAGGCGGAGCTCCAAGCGAGGGGGGAGCTGGGCTAGCAGTCACGGACGGAGGTGCGCCTGCAGAAGAGGATGGCCGGCTTCCCGAGGCCCCTGTCGGCGGAGGCGTCGCCATAGCAGGTGGCGGCCCACCACTGCCGCTCATTGATCTACTGGGAGGTGCCGAACCCTTCGGTGGGGGTGGCGTTCCACGCGTTGGAGCAGCACTCCCGGGATCCTTTTTGTTAACCCACTTCTTGAGTTCGGTGTCATAGTAGAATGAATTCTCCTCCCCAAGTTTGGCACGGATTGGCCCTCCGCCGCTATTGTCGTCTTTCTTGCCTCCAAACCATCCACTGAACCATCCCTTCTTCCCTGTTGCAGGCGGGGGTTTCTTGGCTAGACAAATCAATTAGCCACAGCAGAGATCGACAGTTACATGGGAACTTACCATCTGCTTCGGCCGCTTTGCGGAACGCCTCGTCAGCTTCGCGGTCCCGGCGTGCCCTCTCTGCCTTCTGAATTGCGGCTGCGCGCGCTGCAAGATCCTCGTCGTCGTCCTCATCCATGAATGATTTCTTCTTTGGCTTGTCCTCTTCAGTAGACTCATCCTGAACATCGTCCGATGCAGGCTCTTTATTAGACTCAACGGATGGAGGTTCGTAGGCCCCCTTGCTGGCAGGAGGCATATATCCGCCCTGGTCTGGTTGAGACGTCGTAGTGATGTCGAAAGGTTGACCAAATGGTTCCGGTGCATACATAGAAGGCCGGTGGGACGGGGCACTGTCGGAGACCTGAGAATGTGCGGAGAAAGTTCCTTGTTGAGCTCCAGATGCCGAATCCTCTGCAACAGGTGCCAAAGGCATGTAGGATGATTGTGGAGGCGTGGACTGGTAACCAGCAACCGGCGGAGAGCCATACATTGGCATTCCGTGATACATGTTCGTGTCAACCGGTGTAGAAGGCTCCTGAGAACCTCGTCGCTGTCCTAGTGGGTACCCGAACGATGCAGACCTCTGAGAGTCCATAGACGATCTACCACGAAGTTGCTCGGGTGAAGCGCTTGGAGCGTAATGGCTCACTGGTTGGTAGCGAGAGGGACCAGTACCGGGCAACGGCTGAGCCGCCGCCACAGGATAGGACCCATAGATGTCGGATACTGACGGTGAGCGACTAATGGTGGGAGTTCCAGAGACTCTGGCAAACGGTCCGATCTCTTCGGCCTTCCCTGAGCCAGTGGAAGCTGCATCGCTGTCATCTCCAGCAACAAAGCTGTTGAACTTTGCCCACATCGAGCCCGATACCTTCTCCATACTGGGCCTCGAAATCCAGGATGATCCGCCATCGCTGGTCGATTCTCTGAGGCGCGCCGATAGCTCATCCACACCGAAGAACAGGTACTGATTGTGATAGCCGGACGGCTTTGTGGTTGCCTTTAGAGCGGCTGCGATGGCGTCGCAGTACTGTTGAGCTTCAGACTTGCGACCACGATCCGCAAGCGACCATGCATGAATTAGCTTGAACGCCAGCAGATGCGGAAGTGTGGACACGGACGAGCCCGCAAGCACAGATGTCGCAAATTCATAGGCCTCGGTGAGCAGGATAGAATCGTCGTCGTACAAAGCAGCGGAGGACGCCAAGCGTTGATGATCCACTCCGAGAAGCACGATATTTGCTAGCGGGTCATCGACCCCGCCGAACACAGCGGCGCGAGAGAGAATGAAACAAATATGAGCGGCCTCAGTACGGTTATAAGAGAGAAGCAGTCGGCCGAGAGCAACCAGCGCTCGTTGATCGTCGGGGCTGCGGTTGCTCAGTACCAGTCCCAAAGTTTCCCGCCAGCTGTCAAGGCCATCAAGAGAATTCTTGGCAGGTCCATGTCCGTCAACCTTGCTGATCATTTGCAAGCCGGCCCTGGCCGAAGGGGGAACTAGCTCATCAATGCTTTCCTCGATATTTCCGGCAAGAATCTCGTAGAACGCCGCTAGAGACTCGGTGCGGCTTGTCGCCGATCTCACTTCTCGCCTCACGAACTCCTGGACAACCTGCTGCCAGACCGATCTATCCATCGTCGAGGCTATTATCATAGCATGGCCCCAGAGACGTTTGTCTACTGCAGCCCAGATTGCTTTCTCTCTTTCTCCAAGTACAAGAGTATCACGGAGTGAATCTACTGACCGAGGATCGACAGCATCAGGTTGAGAGGGCGCGTTCAAGGGTCGTAGAGTTGCAGATGGTGTAAAGCCATCTCCAAGCGATTGATTGGGCGCAGAATCCTGCAGGTTGGGAAATAGTAGGTTACGCAAAGACTTCTGAGCTTCAACGGAGCCTTCCAGAACACCATCGTTCTCGACCAAGATTCGGATGACCTTCCATAAAAGGGTCTTCTCCTCGCGGCGTTTAGAAGCATCAGGTGAAAGACGATCGAAATCGGGGATATCGGCGTTTTCGAAGGCTGCGATTTTGCTAGAAAGCCAAGCAACCAGGTCTTTCTTCTTCGACTTGCCCTTCAGAGGACCCGGATGTTGCACAATACCCTCAGCAGCGGGAAGCCAGTCATTCAGCTGGCTGACTCGGACCTCACCAGGACAAGATTTGATCATCGGGGCTGCCTGGCCAGCCGAGTAACGTGGGATATGCTTGGGGAAGCAAGATATCACAGCGCCACCAAACCCGAACTTGAAAGTTGGTGCACCCTTCCACCGTTCCAGGGAGTCGAGTTGTTGTCCATCAGTTGGAGGGATAAACTCAAGCACTTGAGAAGGTGCACGGTTGTGGGTGGGAACTGATGCTGGGGCGTAAGGATTAACCGTTCGCGTCGGAGACGTCGAACCATGCACAGAAGCAGGCCGTTGGAAAGGGTCGAGCGAGGGAACGGACAATCTGGGGCTGAGGGTTTGACTGGGAGACTGTGTCTGGGATCGACGAGGAGGGACAAACGGGGATTCCTCAGTGGATGAAGGATTCAGGACTCCCGTCATTCCGGCGATAGGTGGACCGGTAGATACGGGAGCTGCGCGCTTGGCAAATTCATTGGTATATGCGGAAGGAGCATATGGATTTTTGGCTGGCGATTGCGGTCGTGTAAATACCGGAGGCATATTGTCCGGGACGACCGCGCTGCTAGGGCCTTTATCTTCTGAGGAGACCGGCTGTTCTGACGGATGCGAATGGTTCAACGGAGGAGGGCTAGCTGTTGGTTGCAGTTGAGGCCGCTCTTCACTTTGGCCTTGATCTTGATAGTGTATCTTCTCGTGGTAAGCCAGAGGGCTCGATGTGCGTGGTTGGAACTGTAAAGCAGCTCCCTGCCCTGAGATACTTGCTGGTTGTGAGGCGTACCGATTGCGAGGAGGAGCCGCCGCCGCAGCATTCGTAGACTGAGGTGGGGCTGGAGAGTATCTGGGCGAAGGAGGGGGCTTAACACCAGCCTGCAGACCGGGAGGCCTTGGCGAGTATCTTGACGCAGTGCTTGGAACGGCCGGCGCGCTTGGTACATTGGGCGCTAATAGATTCGAGTATGGGTCCAACCTTTCCGGCTGCTGCAATTGGGGTGGATTTGGGGGCCCGATATTGGACTGGGGCGCTGCCGGAACATTCGAATACGGATTCGCGGGAGGGGGACCGACTGCGGTACTGACGGCGCAGATACAGGGGCATTAGGTGTATATCTTCCAGAGCTCGCAGGCCTCGACTTGGGCCTAGGAGGCGGCAGTGGAAGTTCTTCGAAGAAGTTCTTCTGAGGTGCTGTTGGGGCTGCCGATGAGGTTCCAAGCGGTGCAGGAGGGACTGCTGACGCCTTCAAAGGAGGTGCAGGTATGCTACTGCTCCGCGGAGGCGGCTGCGGTACGGTGCCAGGCTGTGCAACAACTGTTCTGCTGTTGGCAACGGCCCGACGAGGCCGCGCAAGATCCTCTGGAAGGTCATAAGGTGACTTGTAGCCTTCCTTCGAACGTTCTGCGAAACTCTCTGCTCTAGTTGTAACAGGGTTCGGAGGAGCTTGTGCTGAGTAGTAACTTGACATGGAAGCATTGGTGGGCTGAGGCGCACTATTTTGCGCAGGAATACCTGAGAGCAGATCTGATGTAGAGGGCTGGTGCGGTGTGTAGGAGACCGGTTGCGCTTTGGGTCGAGCAGGGTTCTCAGGGTACCGAATGGACTCTGAAGGATTGCAGTGTCGTTCATATGATCTATATTGGCAGCCTCTGGTGGTCCCTGTGCATTCGTCGTATCATCATCCAAGAGCAATTCATCATCATCATCATCGAGTTCCGCCTGCCACCGGGCAGCCAGATCATCTTCGGTAGGCATAGTGTCGTCAGCATCATCGGAAAGTTCCGCTTGCCACCTTGCGGCAAGATCTTCTTCTGAGGGAGCCTCTTTGATTTCACCGTCCGCTGTTGGCACAACCAAACTGTTGTTGAACTCCACGGCTGTTGGCGATGGTTCACTGAACGGAGAGTCCGGAACCGCATTAAGAGAATGGATGACTTGACTGGTGCTCTTGCGCGTGATGTGGGAAGGTCCTTCGGCTGAAGCTGACTTCTGGATTTCACTAAAAAATCCGCTCTCGACATCTTCATCGCCTCCGAAAAAGTCGTCGAGTTGGCCCTCCCCCTTTTGAGCTTGATCGTTTTGTGTCGCCGCACCGTGACCTAGTAGCGGAATTCCCTCTTCGAACCGAGATTCTGTTTCTGGCGGACTATATATCGGCTTTGTTTGTGTTTTGAGCTGGTTAAAGAAGTCATCCTCATTATCGCGTTCATTATCCCCGAGATTGTCCCAGAAGCCCGGGCGGCTATCGCTAGCCTCTCCGTTGACTGTTGCGCCATTTTCCTCGCCCTCAGCTTCATCCATCCAGGCAGTGTCACCGCCCTCAAACAAATCCTGTGCATCATTCTGACTTGCCAAGCCAGTAGATTTTTCCGGCACCTCATAATGTGGTTCTTCTGCTACATGCTCTTCCAGTCGAAGTCCATTTGTCATGTCAACATCGCCGTTCTCCGTAGGCACGTTCTCTGTGACATCTTCAACTGCCCGGGGCTCATCAGTCTGCATAGAAATCGACTCATCACGGCTGGGTTCTTCGGGCTCCTCAATGTCCGGTTTCGAGCTGTCATCGGCAGCCGGCGTACTCGAGTCGACCACATCGAGTGCACCTTGGTCACTGGTATCAGCAGAAATAGCGGCTTTGGACTCAATAAGACCATTCTCTTCAGTGATTTTTTCGGCAGAGGGAGACACGTGGGTGTCAATGTCTGTAGTTTCTGAAAGTTCCTTCTCGGAATCTAGCGCCAACCTGGCCAGATCGGTCGTAACGGAATCGTTATCCTCAGGTCGAAACGCTGGATTCCACGCGAGTACTCCTTCTGTCTGCGCCATGTCTGCAAGAAAAGACTTCGCCGAATGGCGGTACGGTTGCTGTAAATTACGAAGCTGACACGTTTTCTAGACAACTCCGGGACCCTGAGAGTCAACAAGGCGAAGCACAATCGTAAAAAGAATCCAAGAAACACGGGAAATTAAACATATAAGAAGCGGAAGAAGCAATTCAGTAGAAAGAAGAAAAAATTACAAGAGACAGCCTGGTTGTGGATTCATGACTGGATATCCATGACATGTAGAAAGGTATGAAGGTTTGAGATTCGGCACCCGAACAGACACCCGATAGATAGCACGGAGTACGGAGCAGTGATGCTTTCTCCGTTTTTGGTTACCCCGTCTGGGCCTGTCCGTCATCCGGAGGGGATTGACTTTAATCCGGTTGGAAAAGAACACCTAACATGTCCTTGTCACGTGCCTGGTCCAGATGTCTATACTCTGCATCGCATAGTTGCGGAGCACTATCAACAGTCATCAGTTGCATGTGCATCAATTGTGATCACGATATAGACTAGTGTACTCTCATTTGCTTTCTTTTTACGGGGACTAACCTCCCGAATTCATTGTGTGAAGACACTCGGCTGCTACGATTTGATCTTGAAAGGAGCAGATCAACACACAGCTTCTCCGCCTATGACATCGCTGTTTCATAAACAATTGAGTGCGCCACAGCTGCGTGGCAGAGCCTGAGGCCCGCACCAATCATGTGATCGGCCTCGTGCTCCACCTCTCATGGATCAGTTACCACTGCTTAGGCTCCAAAGATACCTTAGTATTGTTATCATCGCGATGATAGAATGACTCCCTTTCTTTTACTCCTTGATTATTCTTAGGTGCATATAGGATGGTGTTATTTGCCCTCATTTCCTGGATTTCGGCTTCTTACTTCCTGGCGCGCTGTTGAACGCCATCTACTTTCTTCACAGCGACAAGAACAATAACAATGCGGGCCTGAAATGCCACTTACCGTGAGATAGGATCCTGATCTAGATAGAACTTTGCGAGGAAGATCCGGGATCGCCGCTTCATATGGGAAGCACAGTCAATATCACTCCGCATCATACCCACAATGCCTTCATCATCCGAATACCTTCATCCTCACGACCGCGCCAGCATCGCTGGTGACTCCGGATCCGAGGACGATCTCGACTTGGAGGAGTTGGATCCGACCACGGCGACCATTCATAAATCTCCCCGACTATCGAAAGACGAACCAACGCGACAAAGAGGCTATGGTTCAGGGATTGCTTTGAGGAATTTGCGGGTCGGCGGTGGAAGTCGAAAGTGGAAGCGTAGTGCTTCCGGCATACGGAACAGGGATTCGGAGGAGGATACACACGGTTTACTAGAAGATCGAGAGGGAGAGGCTCTCCGGAACTCGCATGCGAGCTCACGCAATTTCACTGATGATGATGCTCCGCTGCTTGACAATCCCCGGCGGAGCTCAGCCCGCTCGTTTCCGGGTGATGGATCAATTCAACGAGGGGTTTCTCGGTCACGGTTTTTTGGTTTCAAAGCAGCCAACATCTTCTCCGGTCCGTCGAGCTGGTCTCGCAGGAACGATGAAAATAATGCAACCCAGCCTCCTCGGGAAGTGTTTGTTGGGCAAGCGCAAAGGTCGAAGTACCCAGCGAACATCGTTTCCAATGCGAAATATACCCCTTGGAGCTTTCTACCACGCACCCTATACAATGAGTTTTCTTTCTTCTTCAACATCTACTTTTTGCTTGTGGCTCTTTCGCAGATCATTCCCGTGCTTCGCATCGGGTACATGTCGTCCTACATCGCGCCTCTAGCTTTCGTCGTCTCAATATCCTTGGGAAAAGAAGCCTTGGATGATATTGGCCGGCGAAGACGAGATGCCGAAGCCAACTCTGAAGAGTTCTCAGTGTTGTCCTTTGACAGGCCCGTGGGCAGAAGGGCGTTTGCGACACCTGCAAATAATGATTCGGATGCCGACGACGTATTCGAGATCACTAAGAAGTCTAGGGACCTGAAAGTCGGTGACGTTCTCAAGGTCCGCAAAAACCAGCGCCTTCCCGCAGATGTGGTGATCTTGAAAACTATCTCCAACGACTCTGTCACTGCGCCGCGAAGCTCTTCAGCTGAGCTTGCCACGGATCTTATGCGACCCGACCAAGAATCAATTCAACCGTCCGAGGTTGAGCCTAGTTCAAGTGCCGCCGCGGATGAAATTGATACGTTTTCTACTAGTGACACGTTCATCCGTACCGACCAGCTGGACGGTGAAACTGACTGGAAACTACGCTTGCCTGCGGTCCTATCTCAGTCCCTGCGACTCCGGGATTTCACTAGACTCAAGGTCACCGCCAGCGCACCGGACAAGCGAGTCAATGAGTTCCTTGGCACCATTGAGCTTGGCTCACAGTCAGGTTTTTACGATCCCCACGTCGACAAAGCGCAGACTGGCGGCGGAGCGAGCAGCGAGGATCGGCAAGCCGATTCTGCCCCCTCACAATCGACAACACGGCGTGGGCAAACACGGTCCTGGCATCCAATACAGTAACGTATGCCGTCATTATCTACACTGGCTCGCAAACTCGAGCAGCTCTCTCCACATCGCCATCTCGTTCAAAAGTGGGTCTTCTGGAATATGAGATCAATAACCTGACCAAGATTTTATGCGCGTTGACGCTCACTCTATCGATCATCCTGGTGGCTCTGGAGGGTTTTCAACCTAACAACGACAAAAAATGGTACATCGCAATCATGATTTACCTTATCCTATTCTCAACAATCATTCCCATGAGCTTGCGCGTCAACTTGGACATGGCGAAATCTGTGTATAGCAGGTTCATTCAGCGAGACAAAGATATTCCTGGGACCGTTGTTAGAACAAGTACGATACCCGAGGATCTTGGTAGAATCGAGTATCTCCTTTCGGATAAGACTGGTACCCTAACTCAGAACGGTAAGATTTCATACATCTTAACAGGTGAATTGCGTTACTAACTGTCTTAGAAATGGAGCTGAAAAAGATCCATGTCGGTACGGTTTCTTATGCAAACGACGCTATGGAGGAAGTGGCGTCATTTGTTCGGCAAGCCTTCGCTGGCAATACCTTGACCACACCTTCAGCTGCATTCGGAGCCCAAGCCGGACTTGGGGCAGCTCCTCGTACAAGGCGAGAGATTGGGTCGCGCGTTCGTGACATTGTCCTGGCGCTGGCTCTATGTCATAATGTCACTCCCACGACCGACGAAGAAGACGGTGTGAAAGTCACCAATTATCAAGCGTCATCGCCCGATGAGATTGCCATTGTCAAGTACACCGAGGAGGTCGGTCTGAAGCTGTCATACCGTGACCGGCAGTCCATTGTCCTTGAGACGACCGACACAGGCAGTGTTGTCGTTCGTGTTCGCATCCTTGAGATTTTCCCTTTCACCTCGGACAGCAAGCGGATGGGTATCATTGTACAATTCGAAACCGCCAACTCGATCCTAGAGACTTCGAACGAAGATACCGAAATCTGGTTCTATCAGAAAGGTGCAGATACTGTTATGTCCAGCATCGTTGCAGCAAACGACTGGCTCGACGAGGAAACTGCGAATATGGCTCGGGAGGGTCTGCGTACCCTTGTGATTGGTAGAAAACGGCTATCCTTGCAGCAGTTCCAGGAGTTCTTTGCGAAGTACAAGCAGGCCTCGCTTGCATTGCAAGGACGCGACGTCGGGATGGCCAAGGTCGTCAGCGAGCACCTTGAGCGTGACCTGGAGCTTCTCGGCGTGACTGGTGTGGAAGATCGTCTGCAAAGAGATGTAAAACCATCCCTAGAGCTTCTTCGCAATGCTGGAGTCAAAATTTGGATGTTGACCGGAGATAAAGTCGAGACTGCACGTTGTGTCGCGATCTCCGCCAAGTTGGTAGCTCGAGGCCAATACATCCACACCGTCGCCAAAGTGAAGGACCCGTCTGCCGCCCAAGAGGCGTTGGACTTTTTGCGAAATAAAACTGATTGCTGTCTGCTCATCGATGGCGAGTCGCTGTCGCTGATGCTTGGTCAGTTCCGGTCGGCATTCATATCCGTGGCTGTTCTACTACCGGCTGTGGTTGCATGTCGATGCTCTCCGACTCAGAAAGCTGAAGTCGCGGAGTTGATTCGTCAATACACTAAGAAACGAGTTTGCTGTATTGGCGACGGCGGCAATGATGTCTCCATGATCCAAGCAGCCGATGTTGGAATTGGTATTGTCGGCAAGGAGGGACGTCAGGCCTCGTTGGCTGCCGACTTTAGCATCACGCACTTCCACCACCTTACAAAGCTCCTCGTTTGGCACGGCCGCAATTCATACAAGAGATCCGCCAAATTGGCGCAATTCATCATGCATCGTGGCCTCATCATTAGCGCTTGCCAAACCATGTACAGCATTGCAAGCCATTTTGACCCCAAGGGTTTGTTCATCAATTGGCTGATGGTCGGCTACGCGACGGTCTACACCAATGCCCCGGTCTTCTCGCTCGTTTTCGACCGCGACGTCGACGAGCACCTGGCCAATCTCTACCCCGAACTGTACAAAGAACTCAAGTCCGGCCGCAGTCTCAGCTATCGCTCGTTCTTCGGCTGGGTGCTTGTGTCAGTTTATCAGGGTGCCGTAATCCAGGGACTCTCGCAGATCTTGCTCAACACCATCTCGGGCCCGCGGTTGATCAGCGTCTCGTTCACGGCCCTCGTCATCAACGAGCTGCTGATGGTCGCTATCGCCATCACCACCTGGCATCCGGTAATGATCTTCTGCCTTATCGGTACAGCTCTGGTCTATGCCGCCAGCGTCCCCTTTCTGGGCGACTACTTCGATCTCGAATACGTCATCACAGTCGACTGGGTCTGGCGTGTGGTTGCCGTCTGCGCCGTCTCCGTCATCCCCGTCTGGGCAGCTAAACTGATCCAACGGTCGTGGAAGCCTCCTAGTTATCGTAAAGTTCGAGGTTAATCGCTCTCATGATATCCCTTCTCGCGACGCCCTGCCTTGGTCGTTTCTCCACTTTTCCAGGTAGAGGAGTTGCGGTTTCCTGAATGTCATATAATTCTCTGTATTATCCTCATTAGCATTCATCGAGCATTGATACTATACCATTTCCCTTCACTTTTTCTTTGTTGGTATATAAACCTTGCATGGAACTTTACTTATGATCCAATGAACGTCCTGTGGACACTTATTTTTACGTGCTTACTCTGCTGTATAAGACCCGGAATGAGCTACCTGCTCTGTGACTCCATCCTAGGTATATTCTTCATGACTAACATGACAGGTCCAACAAGACCTTCGTGAGACTCAGGGTTGGTTAAACAAATATATATATCGAGCGAGCTATGCGGGAGAGTATGGGAGTAACGCTCTTAATATCCCCAAGCCACCAAGCCACCAAGCCAAAATATAACTCAATCAAAATATATCAGATAATATATTTGTGAGTATGGAATAGTGATAAGCAAATAAGCAGCGCCACTTAGATGGAAGAAGAAAGGTGGTAGAACGGCACCAAAAAAAAAATAAAAAAGATATTGCGTACGACACCTCTGGGATTCGAACCCAGGCGGGCGAACCCACAGGCTTAGCAGGCCTGCGCCTTAACCACTCGGCCAAAGTGTCGAATGATGCTTGATATACTACGTAAATTCATATAGATACTGTGCGTACTACTCTGGTATACGCAGCACAAAGCAACCTCCGTGAGGCAGAGAAACTACCGCCTGAACATTCTCCGTAGTTGAGAGTCATGATATTTATGGTCGTTTGAGATAGTTAGTCGTGAAAATAGCATCATAGCTAAAAGCGCTGCCCAGAGAAAAAGATACACGCCAATCCGTCCCAAGCCCAACCCAGCAGGAGATTCTCCTCATCCATTACAAATATGAGCCCGACACATGATGATAAAGGATGCGAAGGTGAGGACTAAATACGGGTCGCTACAGTTGCTCACTTCGAGCTGGACGGATGTGGCTGTTTCCACAGAATCTCCTTGCTCAGAAGCTGCCTCAATTCCGGCGAGATAACCTTGGACTCGGCATTATCCCCAGCAGCACTACTACTCGCCGGACCGGCACTGACACCACTGCTGTATCCGACGCTTTGTGGTCGTTGCGGCGACTTGCCTTTGTTCAAAGCAGATTCCTGCGTGGGTTTTCGTTGATGGGTTGATGGAGCGGGGAAGTTATTCTTCTTGTCTATTGCTTCAACTGTGCGTTCGAAGCGACGAAAAAGGGATTCTGCGCGGGTGAGGATGGGGACGAGCTCCATGGTGTTTGAGAGCTCGTTGACTTTTGGTTGATTAGTTGGGGGTTCGCAGTGAGTCGGGGCAGAGGTAAGGTGCTTACCGTATTTAAGAACTTCATCAAAATGTTTGAGGTGGTCCATGATTACGTCGCGGTGCTTTTCTAGGATTGCTAACGCGACGAAGATGTGGAAGCTGCTGGAGAAATAGTCGGTCCACAATGTCTCCCAGAGACGTAGGACGTCTACCCATTCGAACTCGCGCTTGTACCAGACAAGGAGCATTCGGAAAAAGAAGAAGAAGTTCGTGCTGTCGGCGGATTGGAGATGGAGGTATAACTGGGGTCCATAAGTTGTACCAGGTGATCTAGGGTTAGGAGCTGAGCGCGCATGCCAGACTGATCGCGAAGGAAATTCCGTTCCTGGTCTGTGTAAGCAGTGTTGATTTGGGACGGATATGTGTGGGATTTACCATTCTGTCCATGAATCCAACAAAGGCCCAGAATGCGACTGCATCGTCTTGCATGACCGCGTAAATTGGCGCTAAGAGGTCACTCATTCCTTGAACGTAGCCAAGGTCAGGATTGTATTCGTTGTAGGTGAGGAGCATGTCCTTCATCTGCTCTAGATGTACGTTCGTCCCTACGTCCGCAAAGGGGGAGTCTGGATCGGGATGAGGGATATCTTCTCCTGCAAAGAGAGGTATCGTGCGATCTGTACGATGTACGTCTTTCTCTGATACCGATATGTTAGCAGCTAAATTTGGAAATGCCTCCAAGGGAAGCAAGCATACCTATGCGGTTTTTCTGCTCTTTCCACCACTCATACTGCTCAGTAGTGGAAGACCCCTCAACCATTCTCTCCCACCAAGCACCCTTCAGCCGGATGTATTCATCCCGTTTGGAATTCATCAGAGCTTGACGCTCGTCGCGGCTGCTGTCCCAAGGGTACACTCCGAGAAGGAAAAGCCATGCCTCCTTTCTGACCCCATCATTTGGATCAAGGCCCCCGTGGAAAATCCTCTCCTTCACTTCATCTACAGTAAAATTGAGCCTTCCCGTGGTGGCATCAAAGAAGCCCTCCCATTCCTGCATAGTGACAATTCTGCGTCGGTCCTGAATCGCCATTGTTCCAGTCTCAAGCTCCAAAATTTCAAAATCACCCACAGAGCTATTTTCCATTTCCAGGACATCCCGTGCAGTCCATATGCGCTGAGCCCTTTCTCGTTCACTCTGCTCAGCAATACTCATGGCCCATCGAGCTAGGTAGAGCCTGGCGCTATCGAACTCATCCTGCAAGGTCTGAATCTCGGGAGTCTTCATCAGGCGACGAACTTGCGGAGGAATCATGGTGTTGTCGGCAAGTTCGTTCGCCGTCCGCCTTGTGAATGTAGTAATCTTGCTGAGCTGCTCAAGGACCTTCCATCTAGTTTCCTTGAGTGCTTTCACGAAGGGATCCATTCCGGCATCTCGTTCTGCACTGCCACCGGGTTGATGTGGGCCAGCAGCTGCATCGTGCCCTTGCTTCGTTACCGATCCGTCATAACTGCTGAGTGGCCGTGCGAAGGATATGCGGTCCTCTTCGGAGGGATTGATTAAATAGACACTGTTGTCGACAGACGAGCGCTGCACCTCAACGTACTTCCGGAGCCAGCGCAGAACCTCGTCACCGCCCCAGAATAGGCCGCCATTTTCACCAAACGGGTCAAAACTCTCCCTTGTCCTTTTTTTCTTCTGCAGTATCGTTGATTCGCATTCACTATCGTGAAAGAACAGCGCCGGGAAACTATCACCAGCCCGGGTATTGATCACCAGGCTACCAAACCACCAACCCAAGCTAGGAGGTCGCACTAGCAGCGAATAAATTTCGGATAGCGGTACGGCGAATGCATATAGACCTATCGGATCTTTATATGTAGTTGTAGTCGGGAGCGGTGGTACCAGATATCGTTGCTTCGGGGGTGAAGAGTCACCAGACAGGTCAACTCTGACATAGGTACTGTAGGCGTCGCCGAGGGAGGATTCGGGGACCCAGGCAAGGAGGTAGGAAGAGAGGTCGGCGGTGGTCTTAGCGGTATTTGTTGATGCGATATTGCTGCTCATAGTAGGAGCTGGTTTTTGTTGGAGCAGAGCGATAAAGCCAGGGATATTGTCCTTGGAGGAGGGAGTCGGATGGACGTATACCTGCAATACTCAGGAAGACAGCGGAACGTCAGCTCTGGCCTTTTATGCAAAAGTTCTGTTGGATTTGTCAAAGACTAACCTTGCTCTTAGAGAACAAAAGCTTCACACCCCTCCCTGATGTGGAGGAGATGCTATTGTATTCATCCTCCTCGGCGTCGCTGACATCGTAGAAGGACGCCGTCGGTGACGGCGGCGAAGGAGGAGGAGTGAATCTGGTGCCGGAGCCTGCCATTCTTAATGGCAAATTTGGAGCTTGATGAGATATATTTCAGAGAAAAGTGCTCATCATGCGAAAGACTGCGATTGAATTTGTTCTTTTCCTATTAAGTGAAGCTGATAAGATGGGCGTGGAGAATGAGATCACGACGTAATCGTGGGGCACCTGATTATTGATCGATTTGTCCCACTTTTAGATGATCTTTGTCGAACTTCAAAGATGTGAAATTCACAAAACACTAGAGAAATAGTTTGATGCTGGATACTCGTCACTTTTCTATTCTTTAGAGTAGCTTTCTTAAGTCTCTGATGATTTTCAAATATGCTGTGAAGGAGTACTTTTCCGAGAGCACCCTCCATCGCCACACAAGCCCACAGCAGGCAGCAGCAAAACATTCGACCTTGAAGAGATCTCATTGCTGATACAGTCAACAACAGTCCGGCTACAGAGAAAGGAAGAACCGAAATTTGTCTCGAGGATACTCTATTTGGAAGAGGTTTCTCCTTTTTATTCCTGAAAGACGTGTCAGTCCATGCTGTACATCTTTGTCTACAGCCCTTCCTGAGTCCTTACCTTTGTACACCTCACTGAGTAGTAACGTGTTCCATCTTCCTTTAAGCATCCTCTGCTGCCTGTGCTTTGACCATCTTTTACAAGGAGAGATCCCTGATATCAAATGATGTTACATACCTTACTGTGATTCGTCTGCATGCAACCCTTGGTCCTATCAGCAGGACAGGACACCCTCGTATGCATATGCTTCATTCATCATTCGCCCACAGCGAAGTTAATTACCTAAGGTTCTGCGTGACATAGCAAGAGGCTTTAAGGGATCTTATAACCTCTTCAGGAAACGATATACCTATCCAATTGGACATCTTCCGTTCTTCTGCTACAACAGGACAAAAAGTTGGCTGGAATGTCCAGAGATAAGGAGCTTAAAAGGATGGGAGAAACACCAGATGGCCGGATATATTTGCTAGATGCTCGAAAATGCCTGAGTTAGCACGTACTCTTCCGGCTTCGTGGTATTGCAGCCAGCCGCTCTATCAGCTCGAGTGCAGGGCAATCTTCAACAAGGTATATAAGTTTGCCTGTGTGAGAAAAGTAGAAAAATTTCTTATAACCGCATAGTCATGGTATCTACTCGGACCTGTGACAAGGTTCTTGACCATAGGGGAAAAGGTCGAGTATGAAATCGCCCAGCAGTCGATTCTCGCCTTTCGAAGCTCTGGAGACGCGACTTTCCCTGGTCCAGATGAGATTCAGGTCGTCAGTGTGAGGACAGTACGCTCTGCTCAGGTTCCTTCGCGCCATATTGTGGATGCTCATCATTTTTTTAGGGCAGAACGCTTCGCTCTCATGTCACACCCACTGGTCTTGTCTTTAGTACATTGTCGGACGAAGCTCCGAACTTTGACGAGTACTTTCCGGGTCTCGAGGCATTGCTAGAAAGGGTAGATTTTACCAAGCTGCCATATAGGCGCAGTATCAAATATGAAGGACGCTTCAACTGGAAGACGATGTGAGGAAGATCCTCCCTTTGACTAAGTCTCTGTCTCTCTGACGGAGACCAAATAGGGTCGACGGTTATCAGGAATGCTTGCATTGTCAATACACACATCCCTCGTTCTCCATCTACTATCCCCCGACATTCTATACTGTCAACAATCACCAGAACTTCTCCCAGCATATCGCTGATCCAAAGAAACCAGACGACGGATTGTTCTTGTATTTCTTCCCCAACTGCACTCTCAACGTCTATGGCGGAGGCATGTCTTCATTCCGTGTCTGTCCGACTGAAGATCCAAGCCAGACAAGGATGGAATTTGACTATTATCACAAAGAGTCGGGGAATAAATTTGAGGAGTATTACCAATTCGTTCGACAGGTTGCGATGGAGGACTATGAACTTTGCGAGAAAGCGCAAGGTAATCTGGAAAAGGGTGTATACAGCGAAGGTATCCTGAATCCAGAAAAGGAGAACGGAGTTGCATGTGAGTATGAAATTGACGCCCGCTAAGCTTGATGGTGAAAACTGTTTTAATGTGTCACAGTCTATCAAGGCAGAGTCTTTGAGCTGGTGTGCCAGCAGCACGCTGCGGAAAGCGCAAGCCATGGTCTCTCCGCACCCAGATTGAAGGAATCAGAGATAAATGCCGAGCAGGTCGGAGCGGCCGCATAGGAGACACGGCTGTTAGATTTGCATGTTTGTACATAAGTTAGTGTTAGTACTAGTATAGATTCATACATGTCGTGTCCATCGTATTCAAATTCGCCTTCAGCTTCAGCAGAGACTAACAGTCATTTCTCAACTGCGACCCATGAAACAGCTGTACACCGGAAAAGCTCACCAAATCTGGAAAGATATGCAGCAAGCCTGCTGACTTATAGGGCTTGACTCACAGTTGTACAACGAGTCTAGTCTCTTCATGCCAGCCCATCAGGTAACGAATGGAGTTGACCTTCCTTGGGGTCATCAAAGTTACTGTCCTTTAAATGCTTCAACGGCTCTCCGACGCTGCGGCGTTGACTACGGGAAGAATCGCTGGAGAATCGCCATGGAGGCTCTGAGCTCGCCTACACCAATACTTGTAGCACTGTTGACTGCCATCGTCTTCCTATGTCGAGCCTGGCCCCGTGGGATACACCCGAAGACGCTCCTCATAGGACAATCTGAGCCGGTCCCTCAAGTCCCAGAAGCCGACGACGCACAAGCTGTCTCCAAGGAATCGGATTTTCCTGAAATCTGGCTGAATAGCAATGATATCTTTCAACTCGAACGGCGCGCGGTGTTCAGCAAGGTAAGCCCGAATAAACATGTTCCGGGTTCGAAATTCAGATCTCTTAACGCTTGTGGATCACAGTCATGGCTGTATCTTTCTCACCGCAGCCAGTTCACTAAACCTGGCGATTATCAGTCCTTCGAAGTGGCCGGCTTCCCCATCTTCCTCATCCTGGGCAAAGATGGTGAGATTAGAGCTTTCCACAATGTTTGTCGCCATAGAGCGTACACCGTCACGAATAAAGAGCGAGGAAGTTCTACCGTTCTCGGATGTCGCTACCATGGCTGGAGCTACAGCACGAAAGGCGAGCTTATCAAAGCCCCTCATTTTGAAAATGTACTTGGTTTCGATAAATCACAGAATGGTCTGTTTGCTATTCATGTTCAGCAGAGCACCGACGGCCTCATCTTTGTGAATCTCGAAGCCGATGCGTCAGGTGAGCTGCTAGAGACTGACTGTCTGACCGACTTCGTGAGGCGTAATGGGCCTATAGCTCAGTCACGATGGATTGGGGGTAAGGCGATCGAAGGAGTATTCAATTGGAAAATGGCTGGTAAGTTCTGCAGTCTTGCCTTCGTTGGCCTGGATGAGCCCTGATGATCTACCGCAAAAGTCGTATCTGAGAAGCAGTTCGGTACATCTGCAATATTGCCCAAACTTGCGCGACTTCTACGTTCATCTCTTTTAGCCAGAATCAAGCATCATTTGGACGGGAAGAACGCAGGAGACTCTGACAGTCTGCTATTTCCCAACGTCTCGCTTCACACCATCAAGGATAGCAGATATTGGTACTCTCTTAGCTTCCATCCGGCGTCCGAGCGAAAGACGCTGATCCGATACGATCTGTATTGCTTCCAGAACACGGATGGCGACGTCAAATCTGAGTTGATTTCAGATAAGATCATTGAGATGATAACGGAACAAGTCACCGAATTGGAGAACCAATATCAGTTACAAGTCAGAAGAGCTGCGGATTGCTCCCAGGAAGATGTGACCGCAACGACAACAGAAGATCGGGACTGTCGCTCTCGCTTGGCAAACTCAAGTTCGTCCCTACCTGGCTCTCAGTATCCATATTTGGAGAACACTGATGCTTACGTTGAATAGATTTGCAAAAGTTGATCCTCGAGCAGCTGAAAACGCATACTAAGCTCGAAGAGCTGCAAGGGATGGAAGTGCATCCTGCAATGAGGCAGCCGCGAATGACGCCAAAGTCCCGGCAGGCCGACCGACGTAAGTCGATAACCCCTTGTTCGGAGCCGGATGATTAAAGTAGCTTAACTGACTCATTTCAGTTTGCAGAGAGCTCGAATGTCGTGGTGAGAAATTCCCAAGTCTGGCCTGGTAGCCGTCATGCGCCTTGAAGCGATCAATCAAGCAGTAGGCATGGCATAGCACTGAGCGAGCTCGCTGGGACAAGCAGCGATACCTGTAGCACCAATGCATAATCAAGGCACTTCCCTACTAGATTTATCTTCTATAGCTTGGGAGCATCTCTTTTCCTGTTTCTTATCGATTGTGATGGAGAAAAGAGGTAGTATTGGCAACGAAAGGCCAGCCACCAATCAACATCCTGAATTGACACATTCTTCACTGACTTTTTGAGTCTCCCCTGCGTACGGAGTACCTCGACGTGTCAACTTTCCCTTTTCCGCATATCCATTTCTCCACTATTTCGAGTACCAGGGACCTATCTGGAGCCCTGATCTACCCTACCAACTCCACCTCCTGATTATCCAAGAGATCAAAATCTAAGTACCTGCCTAGGTACAACATCAATATAAATGCTTTAAAGGCGTCCTCGTAACCTCGTGTTCTCTTCTCGATCACTTTCATCAAAGTGTTTGTAAGCTCATAACACTTGATCCAAGCATCTGGTCCATCGGCTAAATAGGTGAACACGAGTTCTTCATCTGAATTTCTAAAGTATTTTTAGCTCACCAGGCCCAGAACAATTCGTGTCTTGTCAGTTGACATCATTACCGCAGACAGAGTCAACCCACGGAACACGAGCTCCCGTAGTAGTCTGCAGTAAGTACGCCAAAGATATCCCCTGGTTCGTATCTCGCACAAAAAGACTAGATTAGACTAAGTGCTGATCTATGCAAAAATAGAGCCAAGCCTCCTATTTGACTTTCCCTCCCGAGTCCACTACTCTATTTACGAGGGGGAACTCGTATTCACCCGGTTGCTTGCGCATCTCATCTATCTCGCGCATTGCCAGATATGTCTCTACCTCCGATTGCAACGGCAACCTTGCAGGCTGCGCTCGTAAATGCGGGTTCGAATGTCCTTGCGCAGGGAATCAAAGCGTGGAGAGATCAGGTACGTGGATTCGATCTCATGTTTTCTTATTCATCCTAGCAAGCAGCCCGCCATGAACAGTTCCATTAACAAGAAACGTAATGATCACGATTCTGACGAGCGATGGCGATGATTCGCATAAGGTAGACACCGTTCGAACTTGACCTCCAGGCTTTGTTCCAGTTCACGACATGTGCGTTTGTGCTCTCGCCGCTGACCTACGTCTGGCTAGAGGGCCTGGAGTCGAGGTTCCCGGGCTCCAGTGAAGACACGTCTGTCACCAAGTCTACTGCTGAGAAGAATGGTCCGAAGCAGGGGAAGCAGAGGTTGAACGTGAGGAACACCGTAGCAAAAGTCGTGATTGACCAGACTGTCGGCGCGGCGATCAACACTGTCGCCTTCATTATGGCAATGGGACTTTTACGGGGACAGGATTTTGAGGTCATCAATGCACAGATTCAGAATGTAAGTCCACTGCTGTTACTCCCTTCGGGTGTATCTTTTTTTCTCTGCAACAATAGCGAGGGTATTACCCAGGTCTGATGCGCCGCAGGACTTTTGGCCCATCATGCTTGCTGGATTCAAGCTCTGGCCTCTTGTGTCGATTCTCAACTTCACTGTTGTACCCGCAGACAAGCGATTGCTTGTTGGTAGTCTGTTTGGCGTCATCTGGGCGGTTTATCTGAGTCTGATGTCTGGGTGATGTTGGCCCCAGATAAGGCAGATTCATGATTGCAGCAATTGTTGGCCTCCGTGCTCTGGTTGTAGACAAGAATAGACTGAAAGGATTGTTGGGTTGGTTGGTTAGTTAGACATTCCATATTATTCCTATTGTATATGATGGGGCCGTTGGGGGCTGAAGTTGGATAGAATTCCGACAACAAATATTACCAACTATCCTATCTGATCATCCGTGGCCACTATATTTCATCTAGGATCTACATAAGATTAAGCCTTAATCAAATGGCCATCCGTCTACTAACGCTGATGCACATCATCCAACAAGGGCCGAGGCGAATCTTCATGACAAGCTCTAGTAAGATTGTTGAGCTTAGACGGGTACTCACTTCCTGCCCCTTCCGCGATCACCTCAGCAATTGAGCTCGACTCGAATGTATGTGAGACACATCTATTAGTTCAGATTTGCTTCCCGAAAACGCCTTACTGTGACGGTATGGTTATTTGATCCAGCCGATCGCCAACAATAAGTTGGCCCTTGGAGTTCTACTGACGATTGCGGAGTGTTGGTTGTTTTAGTCGTTTAGTCGATGTAGGTTGTGCGGAGTGACATCTTCAACAACAGAGCGTATCTAAGGTGGGCTTACGAACAAAGGAAACAGATCTGGTCGCAGTATGTCTACATCCTAACAGTTTTGGAGACTGGAGGTCTCCTATTCCGAAGGACGAGCTCCAGTTCGTGATAAATCATACTCGAATCCCATGGGTCATGCCTGGTCTCCGTCATGCGAGGAAGATGCAGGTAAGCGGTAGGAATGTGGCCAACTTCACAGAGGAGGTGATCAGCTGGTTTACATGGCACAGTTATTATAGACATATAGAGGAAGGGGATAATGTCATTGTTCGAAAAAGCCTCAAGTTCCCAACTGATAGCTGGGTAGTCAGCCAAACTGCCATAAGGATAGCCCACACCCCAGGCTTATCTGTGTGGCCCCCAGAACACTAGGCTAGTGACTCTAGAGTTGAGCGAGACCCCGTATCTATGATGGCCTGAACTGAAATCCTCTGAAATCCTGCAAGGTCGATTGGGAAACAAGATTGAAACCAGTCAACTAACGAGCTTATACGATGAGCAAGGATGGAGTGGACCGGGGCCGAGGTCTTGAAGATGCAGAAGTGCAGATCAGTGGCGTTGGCTCGATGGCGGAGCATCCAAGCCTGGGGGAATGCGAGGATAAAGGGCCGAGACGACGCCAAAAAAAGACTCGATACGACAAAGCGGAATATCACTTCGTGTTCTTGATTTCTTCCATTTTACCTACGGAGTAGATACCTCTTCCGCACTTGCATATACGATTGTGGACGTCGATAGAATCGGCATCGTTCATTTTACGAAATTATTACCTCTCTAAGGACA